ACACACACACACACACACATACATATAATATTGTTATTAAATATCTATTTATATATCAAGCGTTATTTTCTGATTGTTTCACGGCGGTTACGCTCTAAAGCACCAATAAATGCAGCCCAAACCTCTTCTGCGTGCGGCTCAGCACAAACAGAGCTGCAGCTCCTCATGCATCAGACACAGAGTGAACAGAGGAGATAGACGGACACGGAGAATGAACCTGGTAGCTAACCTTCCCTGTGCACTGCTCTTGGCCGGGGGTTACACACCTATGCAGCACAAAGGCTCTTTGCTGATGCCAAGAAATGTCCCAAACAGAGCAAAATATGAAGACAGGAGAAACTCCAGGCCGAGGCCAGGGTCTCTGCAGATACATGTGTGTGTGGGTTAGAAGAGACTAAAACGAAATTCAGGAAGAGGCTGCATGGTGTACCTTTAAGCTGAAGCATTCTGACAGTGTTACACTCGTGCTATAATGGAATGTGGATACATCACAAAGCTATGTATATTTATTAGTTTGAAAGTGTCTTAGCTACACTGTTAGATATGCTAACATATCTAACAGCTACAATGTTAGATATGCTAACACATATCTAACATTAGCTTGCTAACTGCTAACTTGTCCCATTATCACATTAACTATCAACTGCACCACTATTAGACATATGTGCTGCAGTAATACTTTGGCATGCTGAAATCAGATGTTTTTAGCAGCCAACGGCATTTTGTTAGCGTTTCAGCCCTTTACTTATTATGCCGCAGATTGTTTTTCCCCATTCGGTGGGCGTGGTTCTCAGAGAACGACACGTTGCGTTCTGACTCTATGAAGGATGTTTTGATGGTCGACATCTGCAATGGTGAGTGTTGTATCCAGGTTAAAAATAAAGAAAGTTTAGGTTTACATCATCAATTGTTAAATTGATGCCTCTGACAAAAATGTTCTATAAGTTTTTAAAAAATCCAGGGGTCTCATTTATAAACCAGTGCGTAGAATCCACACTAGATCTATAGAACCATGCGTACGCCTGCCTCTGGGCAATTTCTTTTTATAAATCCCCAATCAACCCGTGAATGTGTGCCGCTGGTTCAGCCTCTCATACACGCCCTTATGGATGCTGATGCATAAACATGAGCTGCTGATCAGTGGGTCTTTACGGTGAATCATGGAGACTACCGAGAGGAAGAAGACTTGTTCCCTTCAGTCTTCAGTCAGCGCTCACAGTACCTATCGTGCAGCGTAACATCACGAGTCTCACCGGAGCATTTATGTTTACAGACAGATTGCTTCCAAAATAATCACATCAGTGGTTTATTTATTTACTTTTGTTTTATTATAGAATTATGATTAGGACTGATAATGTTGATATGGAGTGATCGTACAAGAGCCGCCTCTGGCTTTAGTTCCACACCGTTACACAATCCTCATGTGCAGGTGGTGAAGATGGTGTGTGACATCACCATGGTGACTCCTCTGCTCCAGAGAGCTCTGGTACATCAGAGCTGTTTACAGTCTCTGTGTACTGTACGCTGAATAATAAACCATACATTAATACATAAAGTTGTGTTCACTGCAGCTATTTTAATAACAGACAGCTCTGAGGAAAAATTAGGTTCGAGTTTGTTTACATCTTTAACAATCGAACTGTGCTTACAGTCATCTACACCCATACAAGCACCAACAGCTGCTGGCTTGACCGTTTATGATAAAGAGAATACATATATCAGTGCAAAGTAACATGTGATATGAAGTGAAATGATTGTGAGAGGCATTATACGTGTAATGCTTCTCACATTCATTTCTACAGTCTGGCTTCAGTTCACCACCTCACCTTCTGTGTCTAAACGTTCGTACGCACGGGTCCGTACAGGTGATCATGTTCTCCCGTCAAGTAGCTTTTGATAGATCACAACGTCGTGCGGTTATAAATGAGAGCCCTGGTGGTTGTGTAGTAGTCGGTTTTAAACGTGTGCGTGTTATCACAGCACACAGCACACACACACACACACACACACACACACACACACACACACACACACACATACGTTCTATCTTCAGGTTAACCACATTCATCACTTCAAATAAAAGTTAAATTAAAATGTGAAAAAGGCAAAGCAGTGCTAACTCTTGACTTTGTATTTAAATCAGGGGCAACACTGAGGTTTCAGGATGGAGAGCCTAACCCTCCACTTTAATGTGTTCCTATGTTGAGAATGTTGGGAGTCACATGGACCTTAAACACACTGGCCATTGTTCCTCTAATGGTGATCCTGGGTCAGTTTCTGCTCTGTCGCAGAGAGGACAGGAGGAGGGGCAGCAGGTTGAGAGCAGGGCGAGGCTCCTGAACCCCCAGGGCCACCAGAGACCCCGCCAGCAGAGAGGTCACTGTAGGCAGGACAGGGGGCTGATCCGGCATCACCTGCAACACAGAGCTCAGTCAAACCGGAAGCTCAGCTGTCCAGCTCCTCTTCTGTTTGACCTCATCAAACGAATAGCTTCATCGATAAAGTGCTCTTCCCCTGGACATTAGGAATATTAGGTCATAAAAACACAAGATGTTAACAGTTCAATGTAACTTTCTTTATCAAGAACAATGTTATGAAGTATTCGCTGACATCCGTCCATTTCATGAATAAAATGTAACACAACATAAAAGACAAAAATATTGAGAAGGAAAATGATGAAATCTCTGTTCATTATGCTGTGATGAGTAAAGACGAGACGTTGGCGTCTTCACTGTGCTCTCCGCTTGCTGTAGGACACACATGTAAGATAATGATGCTGCTCGTCTGCCTGAACTAAAGCGTTCAGTATTCATTCACTTTGAATGAACAGGCACACAGCAGGGCAGACTCTACTCCTCCATACCTCTACAAGGATAGTAGTGTGTGCTGCTATAACAATGCTCCGAATCCCATATATTCAACCATTTAAAGACGCTTCGTCCAACTATTGTTGAAACTTTCTGAAGCAGTCAATATGTCGGGAGTCGCTGCTCAAAGCATTACACACCTGCTTACCTTTTCAACTTTATGACAGTGAATGAGTCCATCCTGTCCAATGTAGAAAGTAGAGAATGCATCATATGACCTATAGAAGATGACATTTGGATCAAATTAGATTCTAAACCAATGTAACAAATAACAAGAAACCTATATTACATTTTATTAACACAAAGGCTTTTAAAGCTGTGATTAAAATAAATGCCCGTGTTAGATTTAACCTAGTAACAGCTGTGTAACAACACCAGCTCCAGGCTGGATGCACTGTGTGTTACCTGTACAGGTGAGACTTGTCTTTGCGATAGAAGCGCAGCAGCAGAGAGTAGAAGGGAAGGCCCCGGATCCTCCAGCGAGCCTTAATGGTCCCGTCCTCCACGTGCTTAGTGAGCTTCAGCACCTCCAGCCGAGCCTTGGCGTAGTAACACAGACACATGAGGCGCCACAGGGAGAGGGTGAGCTGGTACACCGTACGGCCTCTGACCAACACACAAAGCACAACAGCCGGGTCACACAGGGTCTGATCAGAGCATACCAGTCTGTAAGTAGGGATCACCAGTTGCCAAAGCTGAATGAGCAGCAGTACCTGGTCTTGGTATTGATGAGCCCGTTGATGAATTCCATATCATTGGAGTACATGGTGTAATCATGGTTCTTCATAAAGAAACTTGGAAGCTGCAAAACAACATTCAGGTACAGTTTTACAACGAGTTCCCATACAAGGGGAAGTACAACTATTGCAAGTACAACTCCAGTCTAAAGCAATCCCAAGAGCTGGAGAATACATTGTAACTGGTGTATAATGTGTTTTTATAGAGAGGCATTCATTCGTCTCTTCTTATACTTTATCACGATCTGAAGTTACCCTGTGACTCAAACTGCATTGTCACAGCTGAGAAGCAGAAGCTTTTTACCCTCCGACACAGAGGACACGCAGCGTAGCGCTGTCCTAAAGACACGCAGCGTAGCGCTGTCCTAAAGACACGCAGCGTAGCGCTGTCCTAAAGACACGCAGCGTAGCGCTGTCCTAAAGACACGCAGCATAGCGCTGTCCTAAAGACACGCAGCGTAGCGCTGTCCTAAGGACACGCAGCGTAGCACTGTCCTAAGGACACGCAGCGTAGCGCTGTCCTAAGGCAGTGGTTCTCAAACTGTGGGGCGCGCCCCTCTAGTACCGAACCGATAAACAATACTAGTATTGATAAAAAGGTGTTGGTACCCATCCCTAGTCACAGGTTCATCCTGCAGGGATTTAGTGACACTATAAAGATACTGTAAATATCACTCATCTATTCACAGATCAGCTCTGACCAACAATGCTGTTTTTCATAACATTAAATATTTTTTATGCCGATTCATGATGCATCTAATGGTTGTAAAATGCTTAATTAAATTACTTTATTATAGAACATTTTCAGCATTATTCCCTTAATGCTTCACACTTCAGTATTTATCTTGTTGTTGTTGAGATCAACAGATTGGCTGAGGAGTGACTTCATCTCACAACAGACGTGAACAGACTGATGCCTGTTCTCAGCACAGCATCTAAGACACATTTCCACCTAAATATCAACAACAGGCTTTGCACCGCCTCACTTTAATGTCTGCACCCCTTACAGCCATGTTATGTGCTCTGATCCCCATCTGTACGGACTGGACCGGTTCACAGGAACCGTTTAGAGTGACAGCATGTGGAGAAACATGAGCTAAAGCTCAGCTGTAGCTCCACATCACATTTTACAAAGTGCTCCGTTTATGGAGGAACTTGACTTTTTCAAAACTATGATGAAACGTCGTAAAGACTGTGGAGGTCAGTGCCTGCTCAACGGCTTTCACATTAAAGTGATCCATACATCCTACAACAGTATTACGGATACTCTTAGTGACAAAGAAATATTTGTAGGATGAAAAATACAAATTCATCTTTTATCCTTATAATCTCAGACAACATTCATGCCAACAGAAACTGGTCAGTTACAAAATAGCAAGAAAGAGGCTACCTCACACAATCGCCGAAGACGTGTGCTTGCCAGCTGCCAAAGAGATGGTGTAATGTATGATGGAGAGAGAGAAGCAAACAAGTTGGACATGATCCCGGTGTCCAACAACACAGCATCGATGCTTTGTCCGAAGACATCCTGGCTACATTAGTCGGTCACGTGAAGAAGAGTGAGTTCTACTCTCTGCAAGTAGACGAGTCTACACATGTCTTCTGGTGTACGTCCGTTACCTTTTCGAAGGTACGGTGCAGGAAGATTTTTTGTCTTTTTTATCTTGTAAACAAACGCCACGCGCGAGCAAACTGTTCTCTCATTGGTCCGATTTTTATGCGGCTATAAATAGGCTCTGTTGCTTTTTTTTTTTTTAAGGTGTGGGGGATTGGGGGTGCGTGAACCCAGTCGGGATGTAGAAGGGGGTGCGTGGCCTAAAAGGTTTGGGAACCGCTGCTTTAAATGATGACACTTGTTGCGTTACAATAGAATACCATGGCTTTGTTAAGCGTACTTCATTGACTTCATGGTACTTTCATTGACTTATCCAGACACAGTGTGCATTCTTACCTCTATCCTCAGTCTTTCATACATCACGGCCAGTCTCTCCTCTTCCTCACTACCTCCCTCAGTATGGTCCCCCTCTGCATGGCTACACAGAGAGGTAGATGGCAGCAGAGGCAGCTTCACAGGACCGTTGTCTAGTTCAATATCCTGCCTGGATTTCAGCCCGCTGCCAGGTACCGGCTCTGTGGCTGGGCAATGAAAACAATAAAACTGGGAGCCGTACATGAAGGGTGCAGGACACCTCTCTGCTTCAAACAGGCTTCTGAAACAGCCATGTTCTCTCTTGAAGCTGTCAATGCTGATGTCATCCTCTCTGCTGCCTTCCACCGTGGTCAACAGGAAGGAGAACCCGGGGGACTTGCGAGGCCCCGGCGTGAGGAGCTCTCCTAGTATATTGTGAGCCGACAGAGGGATCTCCAGCAGTGTGTGGAGGCCGTCTGACTCGCCCTGTCGCACAAGCACACACACGCTGACAGACTCCCAGTCTTCCTCATAGAAACCTCCTGTTTGAGGCTGGCTAGCATGGTGGAACGGATGGGACAGGACCGACTGCTTCATGCTCTGATATCTCAGGCCGTTGGGGGGCACCAGGGCCCATGATGCACTGCTCAGGGGGCGGGTCGGACGGGTCCAGTGCCAGTCGACTGCCTGAAGGAGCAATAAGGACATGGTAACGTTGTACTTGACAGAACAACACTTGCTCACATAGTGTGTTGATACCTTTTATCACAATAGTCTCACATTTGAAGAAATCAGAATCACATTTATTGGATAAGTATGTGAACACAATGTACACAAAAATGTAGGTGTATATAGAAATATATATAGAAAGCACCAATGACTGACAATAACAATACAATTAGGACAAAACATCTATATGTAGGTCAATGGTTCTGTAAGTTGTAAACTATACAATTAGTGTAAATATTACAGTTGGCTGTTAAATATAGATAGACATACTTCAGTTCTCTCTGCGTCCAGTACAGAGATTGTCCTGGACCTGGCTAAGCTATCTTAGCACAAAGACTGAAACGGCTAGTCTACAAGTTACAAGGTTACACAGTTCATTTATTGGCTTTGTATAATTTAAGCTGAAGAACCTGCTTACTCAGACCAGCCAGTGGAGATTTCACCCTTAAACGAGGAGAAGAATTAGATTTGCCATTTGATGAAGCAGGTACAAACTTAGCTGATCTTACAAAGAAAAAGGAGGATTCCCAAACTACGTCTTCTACTTTAGATTGTCACGGTAGACAGTCATTTGATACTGCTACAATTAATGTCACATTTACAAGCTCCTATGAAAATGTGTAGACAGAGCTAAAAGCTGAGTGCCCAGAGCTAATGGACACATTCTCCTCCTCTCTGTTCCCCCAGCCTGTCTACGCTCAGTGTTTATATAATAAAGGATTGCCTGCTACTAAAAGGGATGCAGTCTGGAAAATCTAGTAATTAAATGTGGATCTGAGGCTCCTCTCAAAGAGACTTGAATGAGGCTCATCATTGGTTTATCAAAGGTCAGAACTCATGTTACAATATGTGAGGGATTTTGAAAACCATTCAGCTTTCAGTCAATAGATGGGTCTGGGTGTTTCACTGAAGAAAAACACATCTGACCGGGTTGAATGGCCTCGGCTTACCGTTCATGTGATGGGTAAGTTACCATGTACCAATCCTTACTAATGTTTCCTGATCTTCCACTTTCTACACCTAGAGGGATACGACGCAGGGTTGTCCTCTTCCACCTCTCCGTTTACTCTCGCCATAGAGCCGCTGGACTTTAAACACTAACATACACTAACCATAGCAGACTAACTCTTCTACCCTTATTGAGATCACCAGCAAGTTCAGTCTCATCCGGGTAAAGAAATGCCCCTGGGCAGTGTAAAACTAAAACCTCAAATTCAGACTCCCTTTACTTTGAAACGGTCCCCCACAGGCTCTGTATATGGGAATATATCGAACACCTGCTTTAGAGCAAATGTACAAAACTAATTCCTCTGTTGGAACGCATTAGATTGGATTAGTAAAGGTGGACGGGTCGTGTTGCTATGATGAAAATGAACATTCTTCCTAGGTAATTAATTCAAATGATACAAATTCTCTCACACAAAACTATCAACAACTTGAATGGCTTCATATGGGCTCAGAAAAAGACACGGCTCAAAATGGCTTTTTCTGACATCTGAAAGTGACAGTTTATGCTCATCTTCACCTCGTGGCCGACTGGGTGCAGAAAGTCTGCAGCTGTATGGTTAGATGTGGAAGGCTCCATGTCAAAACTCCCCTGAACAAAGTTAAAACTTTTCTTAAAATGCTTGAATCTCTGACATTTGCTGGTAACAAACCCATTACAGTAGAGCATGCACAGTAGAGCATGGCAGGCTGTAAGAAGGTTACAGGGCAGATTTTGAATCCAATATGTGATGATAATCATTGCTTGCCAGGTTAAACAGACTCTGGTGTCTGGATTTGGGCAACTGAACGCATTTCTACCGTAATCTGTGTGGTTTATTTGACAGACCTTCTTTAATGTCTTTTAGTCAATTCATCTAAAGACACAATCTTCAAAATCAGGATTTTTTCTTACAGATATGTGATTATGTTAGGAGGGACGTTCTTCATACACAGAGAGGCACTTATTACAGGTGGGCAATTCTAGAAGCTTTTCCACAGTATGTTACTACAGGGACCCTTAAAGGAAACATGTGAAAATAACTTACAAATGTAGATATTACAAATGACTAACAGGAGACTGCAAGAACCTCCCCTGAGAATCTGTAAGAGAATAAAAGCTTTCCAATTCTAAATGTTAAACCAAGCTCATATATGCTCTTCTTCATATGTTTGACACTGACTTTTCTCCTTTATGTCTCAAGTGTAAAATAGAGACGGACAGTCTCCCCCATAGCCTGTGGTCTTTATGGAAACTACAGAGATTGTGGCATATTATAAGGCAGCAAATTAGCCATTAATCTAGAAGTAATCCAAAATGCATTCTGGCATGGTGCTATAAGCATAAGAGAAAGTTGTATAACATGATAACATTCCAAGCAAGAAAGTGCTTCTGAACTAGATAACAGACAACGTCCCAACTAAAACCCAGTGGCACATGATCAAACTTAATTATGTATGCAAATAAAGAGAGGATCTTAGAATGAAGTAGATTACCTGACTGAGACTCCAGCTCGGTTTTCCGATGGCTTGCCTTCTGCCATGGCTGCGGATACAACCCACCCAGAAGGCGACGCCCCCTCTGCTTACAGCCATTCACCACAGGGGCAGAGGCAACCCCAGTTACCAGCTGACCATCACCCACAGCACTGAAGATAGCAAAGACTGAGTACCAACCCCTCGTGACTGGACGACTCCCAACTACAGCAGCAGGCTCTCTACCTCTTCAAACCTGAGACCACAGAGGGAAGAGCTCGTGAGTGCTTCAAAGTCTCCTCCTGACACCGTTAGCAGAGTGTTGAAACCAAGGGCTTCTGTTCAAATGCTACCAAACTAAGTGTTTTTTATGTGCTGAAAATATTCACCAACAATCAAATTCATGGGTCTATTGACATAAATTGTGATGCTGGAATGATAATTCTGAACATTGTCAGTCATTTCTCAAGCAAAAATGTCACAGCTGCTGGTCCCAACATCTCAAATGAGAGGATTAGTCATTACATGTAGAGCTGCAATGGTTAATCGATAGCTGATCACTTTGACATATGGTAAATTGTGACGGTCTTTTTTCACAAT